AAATTATCACCGGAAGTACGTACCGTACAAAGGTACAATGACTCATATTGAGAACCAAATTTCTACTCTTCACTGAAATCTGACGAATATCCTGCACTTTTTCTGAGGATCAATTTTCCCGCAAAGTTCGTTAAATTCGACTAGGTAGTTAGTTCACTCTCCAGAAAGACGACCTTTTTTAGTGTCAGATGGACAAAATATCTGTCTGTAACTCGATTGTAGTTCGTATAATCCGATTTGTTCCCAAAATGAGTCAAATATCAAGCTTTTCTGTGATCTTTTGATTCTACTGATTTCAACTGGTCATGCATGAGACTCACCTGTCGTTTGTCACCAAAATTGACGATTTGGTCATTGTAATGTAAACCCGTTGCACATGATACAGGCTGCATCATATTGTTACAGTTTTTTCAGATCAAAGTTACATGAGAGTGCAACCTATTTATCACCAAGCAGTGAAGTACATTAGTTTTAAGCTAAAGCGTAATTGGTTAGGTGGGAATGGAGCTACCGCATGTGTCGAGTCCAAGGTTAAGAAGTAGGCCGAATCAGTTCGAATAGAAAAATCTAGGGTCTAAATTCGGCCGAATACTGTTTGGATTGAAGTGCTTGGAACGGTTCATGATTTCACTTTTTCCAAAAATTCCTGGACGCAAGGTGCTGATAAAGCCAATTCGAGTGAACCCTTATGTGGTCACCGGTCAATGGGTTTGGTATTGCACTCCCCCACACACTTTGTAATCAGCTACAACTTGAATGTGAAGACTCGGCTTTTCTTATACCGAGAACTAGGCTGGGCCGAAACCAATTGGTCTTCAAAATAAGTCAGGTGCATTTCAGACAACCTTTATTTGTCTAGTGGATACCAAAGGGATTTTTCGATTGGGTAAGTTTTAATTTCGTCTATTTCTTATCCGATTTTTATTAATGTGCCTTAACGTTAAGTTTAGGTAAACAAACTTCAAGTCAAGTCAAGGATTTGATTTATGCCCTCCCGGGAGTAATTGTGGTATGTCTAACCCACTCCATTTAGCTAGAACTGAAATCTCTGTTTTTTTGTGATTATAAATAACTGTGGCATTGCAGTTTGAGAGTTATTGAAATATGATAATTGTTCAATTTGTGGTACCAGTTTTGGAGCTCTACATTATAATCTCACTGTCTTGTGGATAAAAAGATTTTGGCATCTGTTACTACCTGACTGTGTCCAAACTCCTATCATCATCATTATCATCATCGTACAGAGAAAAAGAATGAGGTGAACTTTACTGATCACTGTCGAAGAAGGACGCTACTGCTGTCGGTCAGTTGCTACATGCATCAGTGTCTCCTAATAATCAGTTGCAGAGCCTCCTGTACCCTAACGCGGAAGATAAGAGACACCTTCTCTACCCAATCACTAGTGACACTATCGTAGACAGTGGCCCTCGTGCATCTACTCAATATTATTGCAACACCAGTTCATATGAATTCCATCTTCTCTCGGACTCTGCTCTTCATATTCCAATCTTAATTCCTCTCTTTTATCCAAATGGGCTACCAAAAGAAAGTAACCAAAAGCCGGCGCACGAAGGTGTATGGCTGATGGTTGTAAAAACTGAAACTGAAAACCCAATTACTCTGTTTTTGTTCGTGCCTCGCTTTCGCGTCACCTGTTGATCTCCGCGAGACCTTGCTGTGAAAAGGCCCAATGCGGAAAACGAAAAATGAGCATGCGTAATATGTGTCCAGCGAGATCTATTAATCTGAATTCGATGTGTTATCAAATTTATCCTCGAGAAATTACGAACGCAGGACGGCTGACTTCCATTCTACGCTTATACATTCCACTGGTACTGGATATTCGCTTCACGAATTTCATCTTGTCTTTCTTCCCGTTCTTATACGAAACTATTTATCGCAACAAGGCTAATTGGCCACACTTACTTGCATGTTCTGATTGCGCAGCATTTGATACTGATGACGTAGCCAGGAAATTTTAGTTTTGAACTTCAATAACCATTCACTGAGATCCGTTTCTGAGAGGAGAACGCTCCGATTTTGCCATCGGTCAGTTGGTTTTGTTTTCTTTTGTCCTACGAGAATTGGGAGTTACGGCTTCATGAATAATTCAATTTATTAAAAAGGTTAAAAGTGTACTTTAATTTTCATCGGTGCTCGATGGGTTTTCATCCTTCATCGGTTTACGAACATTTGGGGTATGTGTAGTGAAAGTGCTGATACGTACTCATTGCAGCTACAAAATTTTCAGCAGCTCACAAGTAGCAGTGGTTAGTTCAATAAAGGGCAATGCATTCATGAGGCTTCTCACTGATTGGATCTTATGGATACATTGTATTCATGCCGGTTTAGCATTCAAGCGTATCGACGCAAATGACCAAACACTGAATTTGTGCCCTTATCACGACCGGAACGGTTACTTAAATATCTGGCAGGCGCGTGTCTTTGGTGTAGATGGGCTAACCACCTTCAAATGAACACCTACATCAAGTTGGGAACAAATTGAACTCACCTATTCCCTCTTCTTTGTTCATCGTTTGAACCATGTGGACCAACGCGTCGAGGTCGCCAGTAGCCCAAGAGAGGACACTCTGAATCTTGCTCAACATTTGAGAATGATAATGCGGGTTTTCGTTCTCAGGTGTGTATCGTTGATTCTGTGTCTGTGTGAGGGAGAAGAGGGTTTTCCTGTTGAAAACGAAGTCTACACTGAGTGGACATTATGTCATCATGAAGTGCTGATCCATTTTAAACAGTTATCACTGTTGCTTTTCCCAACAGCTGTTTGTGCTGTTTCAACAGACATCCATCCAGCAGCTACCTTCATATACTACAAGAGAAGCCTTTGGACAGTTGGGCAAAGCATTACGACACAAAAGTAGTGGATCTTCGAAGAAATTCACAACCCTGGGAATGTGAAACTCACTAACCCTCCTACCGTTCGTCGAGGAGGTACATGCCTCAAAAATGACGTAATCCCTATCTCCTTTACCGCGAGATGACAGTGATCAGCTTATACCGAGTAACGGATAAAACTCCAGAATACATAGAACAATTGATCCTCCTGTTGTGTAGTGCTACCAAGAGTTACGAGGACTTTGATTCACCGAGCGGATTGGAAATCTTTGCCGCCATCGTGGCAGTGAAAAACAGGAAATTTTTCTATTAAGTCTACATTCCACCTCGTATCTTCAAGGTTTACCATTTCTACTGGACTCATTGACTACATTTTTCAGTCAAATCTCAGATATCGAAAATTTTCCTGAAGAATAGACGACAATCATTCTGCCCTATGCACCACAAAAGGACGACAAAACCATCTGAGTGAGTTGTAGGAGCATCACTGATACATTGCGCACGTCATTTAAAATATTTTCACTTAGACTGAGGAATAAGTGATCCTAAACCAAAATCTCCACCAATGCTAGGAGTTTTATTTCTCGCTCAAGCAATAGATCCAAATTAAAATACCATATTAAAGGGTTTGGTGTTGTGTACGATACATGCCAAGCTACCGTTCAGCACTGGGGTGTACCTTTGATTATGTACTTCAATGTGATGGATTGGTCGATTCAGAACTGATCCGTCAGAGGTTTTCTGCACTGCTCTCTGCCAAGTTACAAGACTAATCAGCAATAAACTATCACACAATCCAAACTGTTCAATTATCTGCATCACGGTTAAATTACCTGTGTTTCCTCGGGATAATTTAAGCGTTTCGTCACCAATTAGCTGATCAAGAAAGGTTATCCACTTTCCCCACCTGATATCGCAGACACTCAATGATTCGAAGTTTTGCTGAACTTGCAATATATTTCAAGGTCCAGTTGATGACCACTCGAGTTTCTGAACATAGTTTCATCCGTGTCGTATATATTTGCAAATAAAAGAACACAACAGGAGAAATTAATTTGAGAAGAAGTGGCAGCATGCAACCGTTTTTAACCAAAAATGAACTTCTTCGTCACACTGTTTTTGTTGTTCTGAACGTTTTATGGTTTATAAGAAACAACAACGCCCATTGTTCAGAACCACTTCGCTCGCAGACTATTCCAGATACTGTGATATGCGCCCCAGACCGGCGAATTCCCAAGTAAATTTGACCCTACTCCTCCCTCCCTCCCATCCGGTTTGTGCATAGTTGCATGCACCTACGAAAAACGTTTCTCGCTCCAGGGTCAGTTTCTTTCTGTTCTTGATCGAAGCGTGTCTGGCTGCTCATGATACTCGTAGAGTGCTGTTATCAACTGACTCTCATTCCTCGCATTTTACACAGACGGTCTCTGTTCACTACAAACCTGGTTACAGTGGTGAGATATGGTAAAAATCGTGCTGGTAAGGTTGCAGGACTTCAAGGATATAGCTGCTCATGGTGCAAGATGCCGAAAATCGATAAAGAATACAATTTCCAGTGAACACACCATCCCAGAGTTTGTCACCGCGATGCTGGTTCCACGTTCCAAGAACCTCGTCGGGATCATAGACAATGTTTGAGAGGTGGAGGAATATGATGTGCAGCCATATTTTCTGCTTCTGTGGGTAATGCTGACAGGGTTTGAATGAGCTCCAAATTCGTGTCTTATTTTTTACTCTTTTCCAGAATTGGGCGTTCTACTCGTTTCAGACATGATTTCTACCATATCCCACCACTGTAACCCGGTTTGTCGTGAACAGAGGCCGTCTGTATAAAATGCGGGGAACGAGAATTAGTCGATAACAGCAATCTGATAGTTTCATGAGCAGCCAGGCACACACCCCGATCAGGAACGAGAAGTTGACCCTGTCGTAGATGAATGCAACTGTGTACAAATCGGATGGGAGGGTAGGGTAGAGTANTGAGTGTTGGTGTTTTCCTGTCACTGGCCTAGTAGGCATACCAATTAGTCTGAAGTTATTTAGCTTTCATCACTCTACGAATGAACTATGTTCGTCTAATGCCTCTGGAGCACTCTTCACGGTGTAAACCGCACAGCAGATATCCGAATCGTGACATACCAAAATCAACCCACCGGTTCACTCATTTCGTTTTCCCAACCAATCGTTTGTGAACTCTTTTGGAGGCTTGCGATTTCGCTCAACTTTGCCAGTTCATATTTGGTTCGGGTATAGTCCCAACCGGTGTCCCAGAGCACTTGACTTAGGCGCCTCAACTGGTCATTTCGTGTGACCAATTGTTCTATTAGTTTCTGGTGCAAATGTTTCATTCGCCGGAATCGTTGGAGCAAGAAATGATGTCGCCGTGTTACACAGGACAGGACGCATTTGGCTTGAAGCTTGAGCGAACGAATCACACGGGTTTGTTTTATCTGTAACAGAAAAAGAGTGGAAGTTGAAAAAGAAGTGGATGACTGGATACCATTCGGCGTCAAAAAGAGCAAACGTGGACTGAGGCATCATTCTAGTGGAACAAGCCGGCTCTCACTGGGATCACTGAGAACTCGTTCAATGATCATCACAGTTGGACAAAAACTTTTTTGCATCAAACGTAAGATGACATATAGGACTCAAAGTGTGATAATAGTATATTCGAGCATGACTGCACATCACTTCTTCCATGGAGCACAGTGTTTGAGTTGTGAGTATGAGCTCAAAATTGGTCATATCCGGGTACCAATGATACACTGTAAACCATTTCGGACTGTATTTTACAATCCATTACTGATAATCTCCAGTAAATTAAAGTTTCTTCACAGCTTGTTGCATTCCATTAGCAGTTATGGGCTGCTTTCTGCCAGAAAGGGGGCTAATTTGAGCCCTCCATTGATAAGGACAGTGACAACTTTAGGAATGTTCGGATAACAACGTCTAGGCCTGTTTGTTTTTCTTCATTCTCCGTTCGTTCGAATTCAGAGGTAAAAATCATGTTGGAAGAATATCGTTAGCTCCTATCTGCAGTTGCAACCGGATTCAAGTGATATTTAGACAATGACAGCAGAAACATGATCACCGTAGACCGGAATCAGAAAATGGTGATGTGGTATGTGGTGAGATAACAAAGTTCAGTAAAGGCACAATCGTGAGAATAGTAGAAGTAATTATAACTCAGTTCGTTACATCTGTTATTATTATTATTATTATTATTATCGCAAGTAATTAGCACATATATGTTAGTGCAAAATCTTAAAAAGACTCCTATTAGTATTGTTCCCTAAAAGCAGCTAAAACCGCACGATCATCAAATTACGACCGAGCAAGGTGAAAGAAAGGAATATTTGGAGTGCCTGGAATTTTAAAATTTAGAATTTCAATTAGGTATCGTGCAATAATCAACCCGTCTAAAGTCGTCTTTGAATCAGCCCGGATGTCGTGCAAGTCACTGCGTAAGCGATAAATGGCATTGGACAAAAGCAATGGAAATACCTATCAGTGGTGGAGCTGCTTGGTGGACCCATATCGCAAGGGGGTTTCTTCTAGTTTGAAAATTCATTCGGAACAGCGGTCGAAATCCGGCGAAAACTCCAGGTACGATGAAATCGAGAATGCGCATTAGGTTATCAACTGCTGATTTGAGAATGGTGTAAATCCCAAAAGCGGTTGATTTAGGAAGCCTAGAGGATGCAGGTATGATGATAATCCGATGAACTGATCAATGAAGGAAATACCTTGTTCCTCAATGGTATTGCATTTTTTTTGGAGACAATCACTCAGCTGCTCTAAAAGTATCGCCAAATTATTATTGTTAACATTTTACAGTTACTTATAAGTAGTGTTATTGAGTAAATGTTTAGTTTTGTGTGAAACAGAAGCCGGAGGGGTGATCAATCAAAGTGAATCTTCATTTTGTAAAGATTAGATTAAAAGAGGGAAAGAGAGATAAGTGAATAAAGAAAATGGGGCCTAATGTCTTCCTCTTGATCTTGAGGTGTGTAGCTGTTGAGTTCATCAGAGGTGTACTGTGCGTCTGTTACTTTGTATTGTATTGTATTGTATTGTATTTGTAACTTTTGTAAGCATATATGCTTACATCTCAGTTAAAAATGTACATTGTTCGTCGCGCAGAATGAAATAAAGATAATCAAAACAAAAGGTAAACGATGATATACGCATCATGTACAAAGCATTTGACGTAGTTCATTTGAGACCTGTTCCTTTTTGGTGAGTAGTCGGGTCAGGTAGGGTACAAGGGAATTTTTATATATGTTAGTGCGAAAGGGTAGCTGTCGAAATGAGGAGCATGTGGACGGATAGGAACGACAAGATGATAGATCAGGGTGTAGTGGATGAAGAGGGTCATCTAGAATCTCGTGTGCAAATTTAAAACAAGAGTTGATGTGATTATCAATGAG